AAATTGCCAGTGCAATCATACACAAACAACTCATCGAGAAAACCCTTGCCCTGAGCAAAAACACAGCAGTTGGTCCCCAATATGTGAATGACAAATGAATATCAGTCCGTGGGTCAGATGGTGTAGACACACTCCATGCTCTGTGCTAATCAGGCCAACCTGCAGACCTCACATACCATCAGCACATCCTCCAGGGGGAAATTAGTACTTTCCACTTTGCTAAACGACCATACTTTCCTCCCTGGGTGAACACTTTGTTACATGGGCAATTTCTTTATGTAAATTCCACTACAATGGGTTACATACCAATTATAAGCAAAACATTCGGAACTTATTCGGAATAGCAAATTAGAGGTACATTTATGCACATTTTCTCAGAGCAAGCAACACTAAAGAAGAAATAAGCTCAATATGTGTTGTGCTTTATTTAGGCATCATTAAAAATAGGGCAATTTAAAGTTAATAGAACTTAAGTTATTTTACTGTCAACAAACCATTAAATGATTCAAATTCACTGCTAATTAGTGACTATTGTTTTATTTTATTACTTTATTTTAAAAGTGAATTGTTGGATTATGTTCATTCATAAACTATATTAAGTATTTGTTTAAAATACCAAATGGTTTGTGAAACATTAATACACATAATGAAAGAAAGATATTTGTAATACTTTGTTAAAGGTTAAAACATATTTAGTAAAGCATGAATAAACATTATTTACATGGATAGTAAATAATTGGGTAATACTAAATATTACTTAATTGATCAAATATCATTAACAATATTTAGATGGAGATTATTTTGTTGATGCTTGATACTTTGTAAAGCATCCTTAAACATGAATTTAGATGGATATGTCATGTTTTTTAGGTGTAATGAATACTTTGTAAAGCTTAAACATTATTTAAATATGTTATTTATTTATTTTTCAAAATGTAATAAATGGTTTCTGCTCCATCTATCCATGCATGAGAAGATTTAAAAAATCATTGTGTAATCATTTACCAATATAAAGTATATTAAACTTTAATAATAAAGTGGTAATTAATACTTTACTACTTACATCAGAATGTCATTATTATCAGCTATTATTAAATATTTACTTTATAAACTAATTATTTCTTACTCCACAATTCTATTAAAACAAACATGAATCAAGCATTGCTAATATTTATCAACATTATTAATTTGAATAGATTTTTTTGTTAACAGTAAAATAGTTGAAATCACTATAATTTCAACTGAATTGGATATACCAAGCACTATATACCACATATTTATTATTAATATATATATTGCATTTTACGATATTTTACAGTATACCGTATTTATTCTACTGTATAGTATTACATTTTGTTTATCTTGTGCTATCTTATACATTGTTCTTATTCTTGTACCTTACTTTCAGCCTTATGTTTACAATTGAATGCCTTTTTCTTTTTATGTCAAGTGTCTTTCTTTGAGTATACTAGGGAGGTTACCTACTAGCTGAAGTAGCTACTGTATGTTAGTATATCTTGATAGTAGTCGAGTCAATATCAAAGGCATGATGTCTTAATATTGTTATCTTAACATTGTATTTTCTTACAGCATAGCATAGGTTAGTGTGCAGGGCTTCCCCTCTGAACTACTGACACCATACAGGGGGTGGAGGGGATTTTGAGACAACCCTGGGTCAGGCGAGGTCAGGGTTAAGAGCTGGATGACCCTTTGGCTTCAAGTTCAGTATTTAGTCAATTTGAATCTTTCTATTTGGATAATTACCGAGCGTTTGGGCTTGATGTCCCTGTGTGTGTTCCACAGAAATGAGCAGTCACATCTTGTTTCTATTGGAGCTGCATATATCTTCCAGCCACTGTACAGGTACGGCTGGGTTGCATTAGGGGTGATTCTGTTATTTAGCCTAAATTCACTCGTAAAAACGCTATTGCCAAAATATTTGCAACACGGGTCACCACATAGCTCACTTGGTAGATCAGTCCTTGCTGTGGCGTATACGGTTCAAATCCGGTCTGGAGTTCCTTTAGTGGTGTCATCCCTTCTATCTTAACCTTTCAAATATATCTCTCTAATACAAACTGGCCAGAAAGAAAAACAATTATTTAAAAAATTGGAGTCACCTAATCTGCACTACAAACTACCTCCCCGAAATGAGCAGAGGGTAGAATTTGGTAAGATTCAACAAAAACTCAACATTCTAACTTCTGTATTGTTGTATTAGAATGCATAAGTTTAGGCCATGTGTGGGCAGCTGTATATTGGAGTGGAGCTTTTAGTGTTTGACATGATTAATGTGTTTGGTTGTAATTTCTCACCCTATACGTGTATCTAACTTCATAAGGCTAAAGGAACAAAAGTAGATATGCGTGTTCCAAACTTATCCCCCAAACGCCATCTTAATGGAGTACCTCCTGATTTCTGATGGCCAGTGCACATTTTGGTCTTGCTTTGAATGAGCAGCGTTGCTTTATGTTAACGTCTGTACCTTACTGTTTTGTGGGACATTGCACACTTCTTATCTGTTGTTTTTCAATGTTTCATTCGATTTGATGAAGGCATGCCATTGAGGATAGTGAGATCATGTCGAGGGGAGTGTTCCTGGGGAGTGTAGAGCATTAGCAACAGGGGAGTATACTGTACAATATAAAAACATACATAAAGTGGCTATTGTGTATGCTGAATCTAGCATTTTCTTACATTCTATCTGTTGTTTGGGTTAACCCTAACCCTAATTCCATAAAGAAAAAATAAATGCATTCTATTCGGGTGTGGATGCTTATAGCGGGTTAATTCCCCTTCAATTATACCCCTAATAAGTACCAAACCATTGTTTTTAAGAAAAGGCCCCTGTACAATTCTTAAATTGTAAAATAACTAGTCCTATGAGTTAACATCTCCTTCTGGGGCGGGAAGTAAAACAAAGAATAGTGAGAGAGATCTCTGAGTGTTGAGCCAGGGAAATATGCTCCATTGATTAACAGCGTTTCTGCTTCCTGGCCAAGAGATCGGCTTCCCCCAACATGTGTTGTTTGTTTGCGGAGAGGACTGGTGCCATGTGGTTGTGTGCTTACTCTGCGTTCGCACCGAGGAGAAGGTGCACTTCCAGCTGAGCCACTCTGTATTTTAAACCAACAGCCAAATGCTCTCATATGGAGAGGCGCCTTTCTCAGTGTCTGAGTGTTTGCCTGCTGGCCATCATCTTCCTATTGGCTCAATATTTTGGCCCCCTAAAGCACCGTTTTGTACCCCCCCCCTCAATCATTTGTCTCCCAGTCGCCCCCTATCAACACAGGCATGTACAGAACATTTATTTTAGATCCCTGTGGGTGTGTGGGCCATTCAAACGTCCTGACTCAGGGATTTCAAATGTCATTTAAAACCCCTTCGATGCTGTTAAGGCTTTCTTTATTTTTCCAGCGTAAGACTACAAGGTCAGTTTGCTCCCACAGCTGATCAGCGATCAATAGGAGATTTAAATTTAAAGAGCCGTGGCCCCGGGGGCGGTTAGTTGCCGGTGCATGGTGTTACCACAGGGGGGGCTAAGCCCAGGGGCTCAACAGAGACCTATATCGTCCCATAGACCCTCCACCCCCACCTTCCTCCCCACATCCCCAAGCTTGGTTAACTCTCAAGACCATGATTAATTCATGGTGGATTACTTTCTGGGGGCAGGGGGAGAAAACTAGGATTGCATATGGTCCTAACTGCACATGCACGGTTTGGAAGATAAAGGCTCCCTCAGATTCATCCCACCGCCCGCGTGAGCCCTATTTTCATCCTTCCTGAAAAAGATCAAGCCTCAGTGTTTGGTCCTTCTTGATTATCATTACTGCTATGTTCACCGAAATAAGTTGGAAAAGTCCCTCCCAGCCGTTAGACTGCACCGCAAGAACAGTAAGCTGCCGGGAATAATCATGTAGGAGCAGCCTAACAAACGCAAGACAAGCAGCAGAGGCGCCGTCACGCCAATCTCATCATTGTCCTTCACAGTTGCACAGCTAACTGCTTATGATTAGTGTACGACCGCAAGTAACTCAACAGAAGAATCCGAGGCCGCAGCCAAAGTGGTGGGGATAGAGGCGGTGTAAATTGTGATTTCGCTCCCCCTTGTGTCAGCAAGACAGTCCACGTAAAGACTTATGAAAGTGAAATCAGCAGAACACTTTTCTGTTGGTCGAACCCTCATTGTATTTGTCTATGAATTGTTGTTTCACATTACGTTTCTCCAGCTCTGCTTCTGCGTTCTCATTCAGCCTCTTCTTTCTGTCTCTTCATCCCTCACTCAATGTTTTTGATAACCATTAATCTGAATTGTTTACCTGTCACCATGTCGTCAAAGGCCAATTATTTCACATTCTGAGTTAATGGGAAATCAGACGGGTAGACAAAAAGCACTCATTACGAGAGGAGTGACACCGGAGTGATCATTAATACACTGTACAGTAAGACCGCTGTCAGATAGCCGCTCCAAAGACAATGTGTTGAAAAAATGTATATGTATATTTTCTAGTTTTATTAGAAACACATTTTTGTCAACATGTTGTATTTATACAGTGAATGGTCTAATATGCACTGGAGGTCACATAAGCTTAGGTTTATTTGAACAATAAAAGACATCCCATTAGGGCTGATATTCAAAGAGATGTAGCAGCTACTTGCCGCATATTTGACCGTCAGTTTTAAATAGTTTGGACAAAAATAAAACCTGTCTAAGTATGTTATATTAACAATTTTATGAATGTATCTTCAGACTAAAAAGTAAGAAGTCAATTGCTTCTTTTAACACTTACACACGTTCTGCAGATGATGGTGCAAAGCACACTTTAACAGTATTTGTGCTATTTTATTTGGCAAATGTCTACTTTACTTGTTTGTTTTTATTGATATTTTAATCTTTTTTTGTAAACAACATCTTGTACAAACTAGCACAGTGAATCACAACCCCAGCAAATATGTTTTTATCTCCATACAATATAAATGAAATCAATACAAAAGTTTGGTTGGTTGCTTGGAACAATTTTATATGGATCAAGAGGTTCTAAAACATGGTTTTCGATACTTCTGGACTCCTGAATTTAATAGATCACGTAAACAGTTGACTGTTCTAAGTCCCGTTTAGAACCCCGGTAAAAGATTTTTAGAAGGTAGACTTCATTTCGACATTTCAAGTTCACTTCCATTTTAAATAAAGGGTTTGCAATCCATAGAGGGTTTTCACTGTTTGCCTTTTGAAGGCGGCCTTCTTCAGATTTGGTGGACATACTGAAAAAAAAAACGAAAGAAAATGGTCCACACGGAGGAACAATTGTCATTTCCTCTGGCCTCCGGAAACATTGTGTCAAAAAAGTGTAATTGTCAATATGGCAGAGCCTTGAGAGGCAAAGAGGTCTGAGGAGCTTCTGAATAAATACAAGGGACAAAAGTCGTACCTCGAACAGAGTGTGAACGCAGCTCAGCTTGGAGCCCGGTCAGCACACCATCACCGCTCGGCCTTATTCTCTCTCTGCAAAGCTATTCAGGTCTTTGACAGTAGCTAATGATGTTTTCCTGTTCAGGGCGTACCATAGGAGATTTCCAAAGGCTTGTTTTTACCCCACCGGTGAGTGTTAGGGAGCGACTGACATGAGTCAGGAGGGGTGACGGGGGTCCAAACAAAGGAGGGGGTGAATGGGGGGCAGTTCAGCAGTCTCACCCTTTTTTTTTGGATGCGGCTTGGGGAGTTCATGAAGCAATTCAAACACCCAAACACAATAATGAAGACAATGTTTTTAAGCATTATGCCAGATACGCTCTCCCCACAAAAAACAACAACAAATCCAGAGGGAAAATAAATAAATAAATATGAAACGAAATTAAAAATGATTCAATGGCGTTGCCTTAACCCTGTCAATATCCATTTCCATGTTCTCGACCCCAGCCCCCATCACCACCAAACCTCACGAGGACCTGTTCCTCTCATCAGTAGAGTCCAGGCTCTCAGAGAGCTACCACACAGTGCCCTCGTTCATTTCCGAGGGTGCATGGGACAGGTGGTTGTTGTATCCGCTGCCGTTCAGGGACAGTGAGGTAAAGGGCGGACTGGGGCCGAACACATCGGAGGAGAGGCCGTGCATGGGTCCCGGGAGGCCTGGTTCTGGGCTGGGAGAATCCCCCGGATGGTGGGACATTATATCGGAGAAACGCTGCACCTCGCTGGAGGGGTGGTGGCCCGGCAGGGGGTGGTCCATACCTCCGAGGGGGGTCCCGGTGGGGCCTGAGGAGGGCACGAAGGGGAGATCGACCGGGGTCTGGGCTTGCGACGACGGAGGCCCCTGAGGGAAGAAGTCGTAGTTCCCTGTCGGACCGTAGTACTCGCTTTGATAATCTGCAGATCCAAGAGAAGATGGGAAAGTTAGCTCGGAGAACAATGCAGAAAGAACTCCAGAGACATTGAGGAATGCTTCCAATGTACGTGGCTTGATTTGTATAGAGGGAGGAAGACCCTCGCCGTACTACATTAGTCACAGGGCACGCTACACTTAAATCAAAACTTCAATTGGGTGGGGAGAACAACGTGGCCACACAATTAATTAAAATGGGGGCCATTTCTTCAGCGATTCTACCTACTGAGACCAATTTATTTTTAATTGTGCAGAATATTATAAGACTTTTTGCTTCAGCAGAAATAACAAAGGCCCGAGCACAAATGAAATTCTCTGAAGAAGATCAGATATTTCACAGACATTTCAGGGCTTGTGAAGGAAGTGTGGTATCATATTACTTAGATAGAAACTCAGTGATCACCAAAAGCTTCCGGACGAGCTTACCCAAACTGAAAAATACACCAAAACTGTATTCTAGAAAATAATAACATGATAAGATCCTTATTGTGGCCTTTCCAAACTTGCTGCATTTTATATATTTGTTTGTTTACAAGTTAATGTCATTATTTTACTGAATTCACATTTACATTCTTGTGAAAAGACACATCATAGACTATCAACTGTATTCCTTTAAGGTCTCAGCGTATTATAGAGTTAAAAAAAGGGTTGGATAAAATTGGGCTTTGTTCTGTCCAGTCCATACATGTCATTTATATATTATTACAATAAACAGTATTGTATTCAAATGAAAAATATTTAACTTCATATTGTTTAATTTCATTCTATTTCACATGTATGTATACAGTGTACTGATTTCCTGCATGTTGCACATTTTACTCCCTTGCACCATTTATTGTCTTTTTCTTCTTAGGGACTTTAGATTATCATTGCCAACAATATAAGCTGCATATTACAATAAAACCTTTGCATCTGTAATCATAACAGCATGATATAATTAAAATAGGAAACATATTTTGAACAACATGTTAAATACAATTTGATTAAAATAGAAGAATCATACTAAACATTATTTTACAATCAAATACAATTATATTTCATGAATAATCTAACTTTGGATAAATACAGAATAGCCTACAAAAACATTGGCAAAAAATGAAATACTAGCATACCTCCGTAGTAGGAGAAGGGCCCGTTGGGGATGAGCTCCCCGGGCTCCAACCGGTCCACCAGCGTCCTCATCCGCCTCGGGCTGCGGAAAAACGCGTGCCTCCGCGCACCCAGCGCACTCAGCTGCTTCATGCGCCTCTCTTTGGAACGTCGGTTCTGGAACCAGACCTAGACACACACAAACATTTCGTCTCAGCAAACATGCAAAAGTCATCTGACGCCATTTTGATTGCACGTCAATATTGCGTGTGAGATGGGAGGAGGGTGATATGGAGGTGATGGAGGACGTGGCTGAGGGCCGCATAAAGAACATGTAAACACAAAAAATGTGCACGTTGTGGATTTTGTTTTGGAATCTGCAAATAAAGCCCACTGTGTTAATTCCCTGCCGTGCACACGAAAGTGTAATTAGGTGTCATGTTTACCTTGGCACCTACACCCAGCGGCTTCTCATGACAGTCAATAACCGGGATGACTGTGTGTTTTGCGGCGTGCGTGATGAGCCGGCGCGGTAAATCCGCGAGGCTCTGCGGTGAGAGAACTGCGCCCAATTACGGTTCCAGGAGCGGGAGTCACATGTAACCTCCCTAATGATCTTTTAACCCTCCATTTACTCCGGCTCAGGCTGCAGCAGCGGGGGCTTAAAATCTCCAATTAATACTTAATATGAGGGTTGTTACCGATATATTACCGGGCTCTTGGAGGTTATCATTTCCTAATCTATAGACCGGCTTCCTTTTCCCCCTTATGCTCATACATATTAGATAGCCTTACTTGCCACTTTTACTATTAATCTGCTAGCCCTCACCCTTATTCACGTTATGGAAAATAATAACATGTTGGTAAACTAGAATATGTGGAAGTACGTTTTACCACGTGTACATTGTTTGGCGCATGGATATGAGATGTTATAAAAACCGATTTAGCCGTCCTTGGAAACAACGAAAAAGACAAAATACTCCCTCATACAACTTTTATAATAATGTTAACAACAGCAGCTGTAATAATAATATTAAATAAAAATAATAATATTAAAAATAATTGTATTGATAAACCCCCTGGCCCTGCTGTAATCCAGAGTTGTGAGGAGACCACCTGAAGACCCTTGAAACAGATTTCTGTCTTCCACTTGGCTGGAGATGCTCGCAGCATGGCTAAATGTGGCCGCAAAGCGTGCTGGGAGCGCGGTGCCAGGACTCCCAGCAGCCCGGCGCCAGTTGGCGACTTTGCCCGGTCACCAGCGCCAAGAATCAAAAATACCCATATAAATTACCCGTTTCCAAATCAACCTCGTCCTCGGCCAATCTGTGGTTTAATGAATTATATGCGAAGGCAAAAAGGGGGCCTCCTTCTAAAGAGGGGTGAAGGATGTGGCGGAGGGGGTGGGGGAGAGGATGGCGGGGGTGGGGGGGGGGGGGGGGGGGGGGGGGGGGCTCTCTGGTGGGATGAGGCTTGCCTGCGTGGTCATGACAGTCTGGCAGCTTGGCAGGGACATTTTCCATAAAATATAAACTGTTACATCACACCTTTTAATGGGTGCGTAACACCCTATAACAGAGAAAGCCCACCTCCTCCACCTGTGGGTGTCCCTTGGATATTATGTCCATCACATTTCAGACACAATCAGAAGATCAATATCGTAAGAATTTGAATGATTTGCACTTGGACTTTCACATTCAACAGATTCACAATTATTCAAATCTGTGAACAAGTTCCTATTTTATACTATATTTTAGATGTTTAGTTTTTTTTATTCTAATCTTCCTTGTGTGAACTCGTATTTCTGCTATTGCTATGACACCTGGATTTCTCTACGGGGATTAATAATGGTTTATATTATTCTATTTTATTCACTTTGTGCACACATTATAACAACTGTTTTCAACTGCCTCCAACCCTGCACCGTATTCGTAAATCGGACTAGCCAGCACATTTGTCGTTCCTTATGTATATACTTCATATTTATACAACCATATATTACATTTATAACAACCTTCGCATATACTGTAAACTCATCGGCACCTTAATGCACTTTCTTGTTGGATGTAGCCATTTGAAGTATACCACGATACAGTTTAATCTAATATTCTAAAGGTTTATTTTTATTCTATTTGATCTTGTGATTTATTATTTAATCTTGTAAAGGGGATGATTAGCTTTATATGATTTTTGTTGGGGTTGGATAAACTGCTCCATTTGCTAATAAATAACAAAGGGCTATCTTTATCCGGTGCTTAATGAAGCCTGATCCAGTGCGCGTAATGGGGAGCAGCTCACCTGGATGACCCGCATGTTGAGCCCGGTCTCCTGGGCCAGCTGCTCCCTGATGTGCCGGGTGGGTTTGGGGGTGGCAGCGAACGCCGCCTTCAGGGTCTCCAGCTGTTTGGCCTTGATGGTGGTGCGGGGGCCGCGCCGCTTCCCCCCCAGGTTCTGGTCGTCATTCTCGTTGTTGACCGTCTCTTTGTCGGACAGGGCGGCTATCTCCGTGTCCTTCAGAACCACGTCGTCCTGCAGCTGGTCCTGAGAGTCCGGTGATAAACTGGGGTCGCTACACGCCGTTACTAAACACAATAAAATGAACGTTAGAATAACCGGAAGTAAATCAAAACAGATCGTAAATCAAATGTATACTGAATGCAATGACACGTGTGTGATTTAAAGGTGGCTGAAGATTAATGAATATCTGAATATTTCTCAATGTGTCATTTAATTTTTTGTTTTAAGAAAATGTAACGTTATTTTACAAACTATAAGCAACTCGTGAGACTTTCTCCTTGAATATTAAGTAAACATTAACGCAATACAAATCCTGCACACAGATTATGGAAGACACATTTATAAAACTCATGTAATGTAATATCGGAGGCTAAAATAACGAGTTTTTACTGGTGCAGAGAAAAATAAAAGGCTTAGATAAATACATTGTTTACAAACTAAAAGCAACCAACAAGACGTTCTCCTTGAACATTTACGCAATACAAATCCTGACCGACAGCTTTATGGAACACAAATCCTATTACTAATGTAGTGTAATATTAGAGTTTTAAATTAGTTATTTTTACTGGTGTAAATAAACTAAAAGAGTAAAACACAAATGTGAACAATGATTTTTGCTGTCTCTGCGGGGCAGGACCCATCACATCCATCACCATTTACACACACATTAACACACACCTGAGAGGAGGCTGGCGTCTTTTACACTGCTGTTGTTTAGGTAATCTTCTTTGCAAACGAATTTGTTCTCGTCTATGATGTAGAGCTCCTCTCCGGTGGACAGCTGCTTGTTGCACATCATGCAGGTGAAGCAGTTGAGGTGGAACACTTTGCTGCGGGCCCTCCGCACCAGGTCGTTGGGAGAAATGCCCTGCGAGCAGCCGCCGCACTTGGTGCCGAACCTTCTGCGGAAAGAGAGGCAGGGTCGTTTCATTGTATAATGTTAAAGACATATTTTACATAAATAAATTCCGAGATAATTATGTGATCGCACGAGGAGGTTGGACAGGGAAAATCCGTATTTAGCAGAATAGAGACGGACTTTTAAAACAGAATGCTGGCTTCACTCTATAGAGACTGAAGTCACATGTGGAGGACATACATAAAGGGATTATAATCCGGTTTGACACATGAAGTCGTTTTTTTTATTTTTTTAATAAATTGACCATTTGGAAACATATTTTGGCTACTACCAAGTCGAAGAACAACCCATTTGTATCAATAATTTAACATGAAATAAAGTATATAGATACATCCAGATAATATTATATAATATTTTTTTTCGATTTAAGGTTATTTCTTGGACCTTGTGCTAAGAAAGATCTCACTGCTCAATCCACTCTGCCGTGATAGGGTTCATGTTTTATAATAATAATAATAATAATAATAATACTTTTTTTAAATGTGAAATTCTTAGTTAATGCATTGTACTGTCTCTCTAACTATACATAACAATACCGCTATTAAATAAATACTTCATTTTACGGGAAGATATTGCTGTTGCGCGTGAGCTAAATATTTTTCATTATTACTTAAAAATTATTAACATATCCTCCCTCTCCTTCTACTAAGAGCATTTTCACAACCATCTGTCCTCTTACCCTATATGTGATCTACATATAAGGCAGTGCAGTAAATATAGGTCCAGTAGGCTACCACAGCTCTAATAAAGCGTTGAATAATGTGTATTGAGCGCTGTGCACTGCTTGTTGACTGCACGTCTGTGATTGCATTGTCTGCGGACTTGATCTTTTCAACTAGTTTACTATTCAAATCCACTTATCACGTCCTCCTCAGCCGGCCTGAGCAAACACACCGGGCCGGCCCTGCGGCTGACAGAAACACAGCCCAGGTGTGATTTCCTCGATTTCCTAACAAACCGCCTCCCCCCACTCCCCCTCCCGCTGTGAGCGAGTGCACACGCGTTTAATGTTGCTGGCCCTCTTTTCTTCTTGTTTAGCATGAGAATCCAAATTAACAAGCTTTTAATTACTCGCTGCTAATCAAAGCTTATCGCCTCCAAAGTGCTCGTTCACGCCTGCAGGCGCGGACAGGTCGGCTCAGAGAATAAACAGAAAACAGTGCGAACATTTTGAGTGTGCAGTCAACACATGGGATAGGCTTTTAGTATTTCTATTTTTTTAGTATGAGAAAGCACAAGAGGTGTAAATAATGACCTGGCATTTTTTGTCAATTTTATTCTATAATTGAAAAGTTTTCAATAATATGGAAGACAAATAACGTTATTTTAAAGTTATTTTAAGTTAAGACAATTTGCTAAAGAAATAATAGAAAAATACATATATTTTCTAAAATATTTATTGGCCTGGTATACTGCTTTTTAAATGTATTGAGGCTATTTTATTCCCCTTTCCTGCTGCCACAAACCCAGACATATAAACCACAAACACCCTGCTTGTCACCTTCCCAGAGCTTACCTAAAGAAATCATTTTTGCAGTACAGTCTCCCCTCTCGAGAAAAACATTTTTCTGTCAAATTACATTTGCACTCGCAGCACTGCACGCACTTGACGTGCCAGGCTCTGTCCAGCACGTTGAGCAGGAAGCGGTCCAGAATAGGCCTCTCGCAGCCGGCGCAGTGGACCATGGCTTTGGGCTGAGCTGCAACCCCACAACTGAAGCACGAAAGCGAACTAAAATCAACAGTAGTAGCCTACAGGCCAAGCATGGACCGAGAATCAGCTTCTTCCTTCACAGAAAAACAGACACGTCCTCTCTTGCAGGTTAAAAAAAAGCCAAACGGGGAAAATAATCAGTCCTTCATCGGATCCGGAGGAAAAACACAATTCAACCAACATGTAACCAGCTGCAGGTTGCTCTGAAGTGAAGAGAGCCCCCCTTTAGCCAGTCCTAATAAAATGCTTCTTGGGCAGTGCTGTCACACAACAACACACGCGCGCCTGTCAACAATGCAGTGTACATGGCAGCGTATCCACTGTTCAGACGCAAAAATAAAATAAAATCACACACCCAAAGGATTTTGGAAAAGAGTGTGTCCGCGGATCCTTGATATTCAGTTGCTGCGATGCTCGGGTTCAGTCAGTCAGCCAGTCAGTCAGTGTGTATGCTGGGATGCCCAGTCTCTAGTGCCGTGGTGTGTGTGGGATACGCTGGCTCTCCAGTAAACTGTCTTGCTCCTAAAGCTCCAAGCCAGCCTTATTCCCAGCCTCCTGACGTCAGGCCGTGGCCGGACCAATCAGCGGCGCGCCATGCCAGCATGCATCAAGCCGCCCCATCATAACCCAGCGAGGGCTCTGCCTGCTATTTATGCCACACACTCAAGACACCAATTGTCAAGAATTTCCTTGCAAACTGTCATATGTTAGTGAATGTGTTTGGAGGCAGCAGCCGCGGCGGAGGCGCGCAGCGCGGAGGGAGAGGCGCCACTCTTCAGCCCCGTAGCAAAGTGTCTTCTTGGCAGAAGGGGGGCAAGGAGGAATCTGAGCAGGTACACACAGAGGCGTCTTCGGGATAAAGAAGCTGGAAGCGCAGATTGCATGGTTTATTCCTGTGCGCACATTTCGGGCATGCTTTTATTTTGTTATTTGGAGGTGTTTAACTTAAACAAACCAGCCGTTAATGAAATAGTCTGCTTTGCACTTGTGCATCTTGTTAAATGTTCGCAGCTCTCTGAAATAAGGTGTTATCATCTTTCCAGAGTGGCATAACAGCGTTTATTTGGCACGGCGCAGCGAGCAGTTCTCTGTGGTGTGATGGAGAGGAAGCCCGAGAGACAGAGAGGCTCTAAAGTTGGCAGCTCATTCATTAGGGGGGTCCAAAGTAATTCAGGTCCACCTTCAGTAAATATCAGCCCGCTGGATTATTCACAGTCGTTTCCATCCAATCGTTTCTGTTCTTTAACAGCTTTTCTCTCAGATTGACTGTTTCTGTAACTAAACCATCATTTAGTTAGGAATTCATCTTTGAATTTAGTAAGACAAACTGTCCAATTACTGCCTCTAACACAATCATATAGGAATTGTTGTTTGAATAAACATAATGCATATTTGCCTGCCACATGGTGGTGGCTTTATCTAAAGAGAACAAGCTTAAAAACACACTCCAATAGCTTTATGTCCTCTTCTTTCTTATTTTCCATCATAACACTGACCTCCATAGTTTTAGCACAATGCAATCTGCAATGGAAATGTGCGTTTTAAATGGACTACAAACTCACTTCCCTCTTTTTTCCTGAACTAAACCCTGCTGAAGAATTTGAAAAAACAGAAAGTCTGACTCTCTCCTCCAGCACTGTAAATGCAGCATGTAAACAAGCAAACGTTGCTGTTATTTGCATGTGTAGAAGATGCCTCGATAGTCTGTCAGTGGGGATAATCTCCGCCTGATTTAGACTGAGCCACAGAGAGAAGAAAAAACAGGCAGCTCACAGAGGCAGATTAATCCACGAATAGAAGGAAATCAAAATATAAGCTTAAAAATATCTCAATTCCCCTCCAGGCAAAGGCACTATTAAATGCAAAAAATGTTTTAACCTTACCACTGTAATCCCCTTGCTAGCAATAGATTATTCTCGCTCAGAAATTGTACTGGAAGTTAAGGACAACAAAAGTTACTATTTTTCTTTTGAGGCCTTCCAGCAAAACCATGATTGTATAACTAAATAAATACCCACATTACAATGATTTTTTTTTATTGGTGTCCACTGAGAGGAATTGTAGGCTATTTACATGTAGGCTATGTATTTTTTCTCCCAAGTCTATTTTTGGCTCATAAATAAAGCAGCCCGGGAGATGTGTGCTTTATGAAGTGCAGGCAAGTGAGCTGGTTACACTGCGAGATAACTAATGTGAGATAATGAATGAGGCCGTGAAGATGCATGCCGTCATTAATTCTAATCATGGCACGTTTATTTGTCTCCCCTTTCTCCTCCAGGGCAGTGAAGAGACACAAAGTCACCACAACAACAACAACAACAACAACAAGGGCCGGGGACAAAGAGCCGGGGATTGGATGGATTCATGAGAGATAGAAATATAAAACCTAATTCTGAATGTGCAGGCCGGGGAAGGAAACCGGGAATCGGGTCCTATACCGGTGGAAACATCCACCCGAGCTGGAACTGTGATCAGCGGAGTGTACAGAGGAGGGGGAGGAGGAGGCCGGTGGTGCCGCTCCGCCGCCCCGTATCTGCAGCCTCAACACTCCGCTGATATTTAAAATTCATAATAAAACGCATTCATCATTCTGGTTTAAGAATGCGTTCATTTTAGGAACAGACAGCTTCAGTTTCACTAAATATCAGCTGTTTATTTTCTCATCTCAATAGGGGAAATCCAAGGTGCAGCTGTGACAAAAACCTAAAAGAAAGAAACAATAAATCGGCATTATATTATTTCATTGCACTCATTATGAGTCAATTTGGATATCAGTGTGCCAAATGCATCCACATTCCAGGGATTGCAGATTAAAATGAGACTTTATAGCTAATCTGTCACGTTTACATCATGGACCCAGTGCATTGTCCTTCTTAAATAAATACCAAAAAGTAGCATACTTTTAGAGGAATTACCACGAAAAATGGTTACAAATGTTTTCTTTTTCTCAAAAGATAAATCGTTTAATTTTATTAGCACCCCCCTTCACAGAAATATGGATTCATAATGTGTTAACTTGACATTCACATTAATTACATGTCAAGGTTTTCATTTTGACGCGCAGTGTTCCATCGTATCCATAAACTGTGTGTGAGTATAGAGAGAATACTCGGTGTGTGTCTGTTTATGTGTGTGTGCGTGTGTGTGTTTGGGGGGGGGGGCACTTTCTCTGTTCTTGTCCAGTCTGTCAATCATTATCCAGCGCGTCCATCCGTCCCTCTTCCGTCCGTCCCAGGGAGAATATCGCAGCTATAACGCACAGTCCCACGATCGACTGTCTGAGCTGTGTCCTCCCCACCCCCTGTCAGCAGCCCAACATATGCCCATGTGAACCCAACGTGGATTATTGAGCCAACACCAACTCTATACGCAAACATTTTCCAGACTTTTCAACTCCGGCCCCGGCCTGGGCTGAGAGAAATCCGATGGGATTTATAGATCATCTCCCTACAGCTGCCTCTTCTCAGCCAGGCAACCCCCTCCACACACACACACAACACACACACACACACACACACACACACACACACACACACACACACACACACACACACACACACACACACACACACACACACACACACACACACACACACACACACCACACACACACACATACACACACACACACACACACACTCACACACACACACACACACACACACACATACACACGCACACACACACACACACGCACACACACACACACACACACACACACCCACACACACACACACACACACACACACACACACACACACACACATATTCAGTGGCTGGCCCAGGCGTTGGGGTGCATAACTGACTCAGGGTCAGCATCAGGGTCCCCCCACTGCTATGAGGTTTCCAGTAAAGAGAGGGACTCGGCATTATTATTTGTATTATTATTTTTATTATTATTATTGTTATTAGCCATATTATTAGAAAAAAGCTTCAGTATGTCCTATTAAGTATAGGCCTTAGCCTTTGACCAAAGGCTTAAGTAATAATGCATATTAATTACAGTATACAGTAAAATAATGTATAATAAAAAACATCCGAACAAAAATATACAATAATAATAATATTAATAATAATAATAATGTTCAATCAAAAGCAAATTGCCCAAAAAATATGATTTGCTTCATCTTTGCTCCAAACAGGCGCAGCTCCCATTAATGCTTCTCAGAGATTGTTCTGCAGCCGGGGTGAAAGGGCCGGGATCACTAATGATTATAATATAATGTGCAGCGATAACCACTCCCTTTGAGATATTATCGCCCGGTGGCCAAAGCTCTGGGGACGGGCTGCGTGGCTGCATGGCTGCATGGCTGCAGAGCGGCAGATAGCGGCAGAGAGCTGCTCGCCCATGCATCTGCTGCTTTTTATTTATTTATTATTTATCCGCGCATGCTTAGTCAGACCGATACGACATATAATTGCATATGTGTTTTGATAGTCCCCACTAATAAGTGATATCGTTCTTGTTGCCTGGGGCAGGAAAACAAATGTGTACAGAACTGGAGGCCCTGTTGAAAACTTTTTTATTTGATTCCACAAGAAAATAGTCCCAAAGCTTTTTGGTTAGCAGTGGGATATAAAACATAACTTATATCAAACATGTCGTAGTTCTTATAAAGGTATGATTACTCTAATGTAGTTATGTAAATGTAATGTAAATGCAAATCTAATATCGTTTTTAAAATATGATTTTATTCCACAAAATATGATTTTTTTGCCTTTGCACTAAATCACTATCAACATTTTCTGAAGGGTTTCCACTGATTTATGTTCATTGGTGGAGCGATTGATATTCTCCATGATTAGAAACAAAGTTTTGCAAACCTTCCTATCGTGAAAAAAATGAAGCTTTCATTGAAAGCCTTTAAAATGAAATATATTGTTTTTGCAGCAGTTATTGCTGCTCTACTATATTTATTAAATGTGTATTTATGGGTATAAAACTGTTAGAGGGGAGTTGCAACTGCATACTCGTATCCTAAGTAGCTACCTTTATTTGATCATGTCTATATTTCCTTAGAATGAATGTTCCTGCAAAAGCAGGCCTGGCACAACAGCCACACCATGGACAGATAATATCTATAAATACCTCACGTCACAAACAAAAGGAAAAAATAATTATCAACATTCTCTGATCAATAGCAAACAACTGGAGGAGGGAATGAGAGCAGGAGGAGCAGGAGGAGCAGGAGCAGGAGGAGGAGCAGGAGCAGGAGCAGGAGCAGGAGCAGGAGCAGGAGCAGGAGCAGGAGCAGGAGCAGGAGCAGGAGCAGGAGCAGGAGCAGGAGCAGGAGCAGGAGCAGGAGCAGGAGCAGGAGCAGGAGCAGGAGCAGGAGCAGGAGGAGGAGGAGGAGGAGGAGGAGGAGGAGGAGGAGGAGGAGGAGGAGGAGGAGGAGGAGGAGGAAGGAGAAGTGAGTGATGTTGCTGTGCTGGACGCACTATCCATCTTCATTGGAGCTTTGTGTGCGCAAAAAGCAAAGGCGCGCATAAGGTAAAGCCTGCATCAAAGCCG